TGTCTATTGAATTTCATTGATTTCCACGCCCCTCATCTTCCATCACTGGCCATGTACTCCTAACTGCTTTAGAAGGAGCTGCAGGGCAGTGAACGGGCAAGGGGTCCCACCTGCCCACGGGGAGCGGGGGTGACTCAGGAGACCGTGGAACACAGCCGAATTACAACGTGGAAGGAAAGAACATTGCCCGTATGTGAGGGAACACTGCAGCCCTTCTTCTCTGGAAAGCTCGCGGGAAGAGGAAGGAGTTGGAGGAAAAGATGACTTTGAGGACACTGGTCCCCGGTTTTCCGACTGGGCCTCTTCTCCCTCACCCAGAGAGCCGAATGAGGGGATGCACCATCTGGATCACAAGGTTCTCCGGCCAAATGCATGTTGGCATCCCCACGATTATGGGGGGAAGAAGGAAAACCCAACACATTGGGGACCACATGCCCCAACCTCTGCCCTCACCAGGCACAGAGAGGCCCTGGAAACGTGAGGCAGGCCCAGCCAGCCAGGGAGCCTAGTGGGGCAGGGGAAGGGGTAGGGTCTCCGCCTCTTCAACCTCCAATGACTCATGACCTAGGATACCTGAGGGTTGGTTCCCTGGATAGTGCAAGTGGTTAAAGCAGTCAACAAAAGGCTAGCAGTTCAAATCTGCCCAGAGGCCTCCCAGGAGTAGGGCTAGTGATGTACTGTGAACCTTGGGGAGACCAGCTCTCCTGAGAGACACTCTCGGGGCCACCAGGAGTTGGGGTGGACTCGATGACAACTGGTTTGGTGAGAGGACCGAGCTTGAAGTTCTCCCAGCAGCTGAGAAGAGTTCTTCCGTCTCTCCTTCCAAAGCCCCAGAAGCCTCTGGGCCCCCATGGAACGCCTCCGTCTCCTCAAAATGAATGTCAAATGCTACGACCGTTGTGAAAAACTCCTCATTCGGTCCAATTGGACTAGCTCTGTGCTTCGCAGGTGGGCCCCCAGGCCTCCGGGCCCCAGAGCCACCGCAGCAGGCCAAGACTTGCACGCCTGGTTCCTGCATTCCGAGGTACAGCACACCTCCCCACTTTGCACTTTTCCATCATTTTTTTTCAAAGCAAAGTATGTTTCAGGTTTTTGTTCCCACGCACTCAAATTCCATTTCTCTTCCACTCCTGAAACAGCTCGGACACGAAACAATAAAAACACTCGGGGCGCCTCGCCCCTCTGCAGGGACTGTCTGGGGGCATTCCGCCAGAGGCGCCCCGTTTTGTTTCTAGAATGTGCGCCCCCACTTTTCAGGGGCGCGCTGCCACAACTAATCAACACGAAGCCGCACCTGTTAAAAATCAGGCAGCAATTTCTCATTAGGCAACCTGCATTTCCCGCCTCCTTGTAATCACTCATTCAGATCTGCATAAGCTCCTTCTGATTTGCGCCCAACCATCTCTGAAGGGGCTTTGGGGCTCATCTGATCTTTGTACTTATTTATAAGTCTGACTTAATCGACAACATTAATTAACCACCAGGATTTCGACCCCCGTTCTTGTGATGTATGCCTGTTGTAATTAGGTGCCAGCAAGTTCGTTCTGAATCACAGCAACCCTTTGTACAACCGAACGAAGCGCTGCCCAGTCCTGCACCATCCTCACAATGGTTCTGTTCGTAGCCACTGTATCCAAGCCCTCTCCCCCAGGGTCGCCTCTTGTTCACTGGCCGCCCACTTTACCACGCAGGCACTGGTCTCTCCTGATAACACATCTAAAGTACGTGAAACAAAGTCTCACCCTTCTCCATATTAAGGCTGTACTTCTTCCAAGACAGCTATGGTCACTTAATATTTCTTCACCGGCACTGTAATTTTAAGACACCCATTCTTCTCTGGTCTTCCTTATTCACTGTCCAGTTTTCGTACTCATGCTAAGCGGTTGAAAGAAAACACTATGGCTTGGATGAGTCCCACGGTAATTCTGAGGGATACATCTTTACTTTGTAACACTTTACAGAGGTTGTAGATCTTTACTTTGTAACACTTTACAGAGGTTGTAGATCTTTACTTTGTAACACTTTAAAGAGCTTGTACATCTTTACTTTGTAACACTTTAAAGAGGTTGTAGCAGATTGGCCCAAGGCAGAGCCTGGACATAATCCAAGAGGTAGCTGTTTGAGCAGAAAGGGGGCACCAAAACTGATCTATAAACAAGCCATTGGGTCTGCATCAACTGGGGGTTTCAGAGAGCACTTGGTGGTTAGAGCAATTCCAAAGGCCTACTCTTCCCTCCCAAGGATCATTACTGAAATCCTCCTTTATTTATTGTTAAAAAAAGAAAAAAGGCCAACTGTTTCTGATTTAACTGTGTCTCCCCCTAAAATCTGTGTTAGAATGTCATGTCTAAACCGGTGTCTGTGGCCTCTGTTGGAGAATAAAGTGTCTGTGTGTGTTACCGAGATCATACTAGGCTGGGTGTGTCCGCCACGAACACCCCAGACTATAGCAACCGGATTAGGCGGAGGAAGAGGAGCCAAATGGGAAGACAGATGCCACTTGAAGGTGGCCCAGGACCCAAGGACACCAGGGCTAGAGACACCAGGGTTGACATAGATGTCCAGCTTCTTAAACTGGGAGAGAAAAATAAATTGTTCTTCAAAGCTAGCCCCTTTTGGCATTCCTGTTGCAGGAGCGCTAGGTAGTAGAGAGACCAACCTTCTAATCACATGGCGCCTAGTCGGAGGACAGAGTGGGGAACAAAGAAGCCAGTGAACCCTTCTTGAGGCCTGGAGGACCCCTAGGCCCACCCCAGGGTGCTTCCACCTGCTGGGTTCGCAAGCACCCTCGCCTTCCCACAGACAGGCTTTTCATGGGCTTCCCACCACAAGTCACAGAGGTACCTTAGAGGCTCACCCCTCTAGATGTTCAAATGGACACTCTTACAGACAGAACCCTGGAAGGATGAGTCCCTGGGTCAGGTGTTCCAGCAGAGGGTTCTAGAGTTGTGTGTGGGGAGAAAGGCGGTGACTCACAGCATCTGAAGTGTCATCTAATCTGATGTCATTATGCTCAGCATTCCTCCGGGAGTCCTTCCAGGCAGCCCAGGGCTGCTGCCCGTAAAGTCCTCCCCCACCTGGTTTTTAAGAACCTGGGGTCAGAGCGGGCACCATCCTCTCTTTTACCTAGTGTACAAATCCCCAAGGATGGTTCCCCATGGCCGCCTGTTTCCTGCAACTCATTTGGGTAATCTCTTCCCCTTGAGTGTGGGTGAGACTTTGTTCTAATAATAGAATACATCAAAGGTGATGGGATGTCACTTCCATGACTAGGCGACCAAAAAACGGTGACTCAAGCTCTTCCTCCTTCGCGCGCCATCAGAGCAGGCTGCTGTGCTGAGCGCCGCCATCGCGGAGAGCCACACAGCACTAGGCAAGCCTTCAGGGGGACAGTCTGAGGGGCAGGGAATCCTGGCCACCACACACAGCGCATCCTGGAGGCAGATCCTTCTCCGAGGAAACCTTGGACATCTCAGCCTCAACAGAAACCTTTAGAAAGATCCTAAGAGAGAAGACCCTGCCCAACCACACCCGGATTCCTGAGCCCTGCAAACAGTGTGATAAAAACCTTGTCATAATAAACCACCATGTTTTGGGACAATTTGTTACTCGGCAGTAGACAACTAATAGGCCCATTCCCATTCCAACTGCACAAAGAATGTCCCAGGGAATCTTCTCCCAACATTAAATTCCTAAAACCCGCACCCTAAGTATTTTCAGGATGTCATATCTATCTCTGTCAGGGACACCCTTCGTTCAAGCCCAGCCCGGAATCTTTCCCTGGCCTCCTGGCCCTCAGTCTCCCAAGAGTCCACACCACCTGTGAGATTCAATCCGAGGCTCTGCTGGCTCCACCTACTTCCGTGTTCCCAGACTGCCAGCTCACTTTTTCGCCCATCCCGCTAGACTGGGAGTCCTGCAAGCTGGCCCAACCCTGAGTCCTTGGCCCCGTGTGGAGGACAGCTCCTGCCACAAGGACGCTCAAACCACACCTGCTGAGTGGGCAGTTTTATGTGCATCACGGGCATCTCGGCGGGGAAGCTCTAGCTTCCCAGCTCTCCGTGCATGCTGGACAAGCCCCCGTGGTGCAGGCCTTACACGCTGGGCTGCAAACAGAGAGCAAGGTCAGCAACCGGAAAGGACCAGGCACTCCAAGGGGACTAGACGAGGCTTTCTACCCCCATAAAGAGTTACAATCTCAGAAACTCACGAGTCATTCTCCTGTCCGACAGGGTCACTATGCACCTGACTCAAGTTGATGGAGGTGAGGGTGGTTGGGAGGAGGTTTGGTGGCACAACAGTGAAGCGCTCAGCTGCCAGCCAAAAGGTTGGCCGTCTGAGGCCCCGCAGCAGTTCTGCAGAAACAGCGGGAGAGCTGCCTCCTGCAGACTGCGCCAAGGAAGCCCCACAGGCAGGTTTACTCTGCCAGCGGGGGTCACTGGGAATGACAATCAATCCACAGGGCCCCACCGACAAAGCTGCCCAGTCTCCTGTGATGGGCCCTTGTACATCCTCAGTGGGGCTGGAAGCCAGCTCTCACCCTTCATAAAACTCAGCCTTATCTCCAGCCTCCCCCAACCCTGCCACCCCCCACCCCCTAGACAACTTTCCTTCATTGTTTCAGTACATACGTAGAAACCCCTGCTGAGTCAACCGTGTCTAAGTGCCCAGGGTAGTAAAGTCAACTCAAGACGTCAAGTTGACTCATCGTGTGGACGGTTCTGAGCGCTTTTGCAATCGTGCTCCAGTTTTAGATTTATGGATGACAAAGCGCACAGCGCGCAGACTCTCAACGTTCAAGCCCAGCGTGATTAAACTCTCCTCTTATCAGAAAGAACCCCGCCGACAGGGGGGTACTTCACAGGTCATGCCGCTGACAAGCCATTGAGCACACTGCAACTGGTCCCGAGGAGAACGACTGGTGACTCGACACACAGAACCCCTTCCAGTTGCTGCACACCTTGCAGTGCTTCAGGAGTGACTGAAAAGGCTGGTCCTACCTTGTAGCCGCCGATGCGATGCTCCTGCTTAAAATCCTTCCCGTTTTTCAGCCACCTCATGGTTGGTGTGGGATTCCCACCGGCTGGACAGCGGAACTTGACAGTGTTGGCAGCGGGGACTGCGTGCAGCCGCTTCTCCATCTTCTCCGTGTTGGTCCAATATGGAGCCCCTGTTTCGGAAAACAACATCACCTTCAACTCCACCATCACCGAAAAGGGCCCCTTCAACGCCTAGGCGAAGCCCTCAGGGAAACTCCACACCCTGAGGCAGTTAAGATTTGGCTTTGGATGTGTAAGAGCTGATAATGGCCCCCTCCCTCTCCAAAAAGATACTTTCTCAAAGGAAAGCCATTGGGTGATGTTTACAAAAGACTCATTTCTGATGCAGTGACCTCATGGATAGGGTAGAACTTCCCAGAGGGTTTGACAGACTAAACTCTTCACTGGAGGAAAAAGTCTCTGCTTTCTTGCGCAGAGTGGCTGCCAGATTCAAACTGCTGACCTTGCAGTGAACAGCCTACTATAGCACCATCAGAAAAATACCTCCAAACATCAAACCCAGCTGGCTGGGAGCTGGCTGTTGGCTGGTTAGTGTCCATGAGGAGGGAGTCGAGAGTGGGGAGTGTTTGCACTGTTCTCTCTCTCTCTCTCTCTCTCTCTCTCTCTCTCTCCCAGAAAACTCATGTCATGTTGAACCCCGCTGGAAAACACTCATTCCAGGCACACATTGACAACAAACCCACTAGCAGCAGCTGAGCCCTCCACATGCAATGGCTTTCCAATCACCGAACCCATTAAAGGATCACAGAGACACACCAGTGTCCCAGAGACAAGATGACCTCTAAGCCGCCTCAACTTCTCCATTGGAGCTGGAGCTTACAAGAGTCATCGATGACCAATGAGTATCAGTGACCATCCTCCTAGGATAACACCACTCAAGAGACATCACAATTCCCCAGCACCTTACATGACAAGAGGAGACTTTCTGCTCTCTACAGTCACAGTCTCAGAACCCCACCCACCCCAGGGGCAGTTCTACTCGGTCCCACAGGGGGGCCGTGAGTCAGCATTGACTCCATGGCAGAGTTGGTTTCTGTGTGTCCCTTCATTTTAGATGACACGCTGGACGAGCTGCATCACAAACATACAACCCACTTTCCTCTCCAAGGACGTGAAAGCCACGACCTGCTGCCATGTCCAGCCTCGCTCACTTCGGGAGAGGCCCCCATCACAATGCAACCCTGGGCCTGTGGGCTGAGGCCAAGCCAGCACTGCACAAGCATTCTTGAATGACAGAAGAGATACACTTGAAATCACCAAGGGGGGCTATATTTTATCTAAATCAAACCACAGCACCACATGACAATACTGGTGAAAGCTCTCTGCTGTGGTTGGGGCCATGGAATCGGTCTGATGCAGGGCAGCCCGCCCGGTCCTGCACCATCCTCACCATCAGTCCTCCGAATGACGGGGTCAACGCAGCTCCCGGAGGGATTTTCCTCTTTTTCTCGGACCCCCTCCACCAAGCATACCCTTCTCCAGGAACTGCCCCTCCAGAGTATGTGAGGCCAAGTCGGAGCCACCTTTGATTCTAAGGAGCCAGGGCTGACCTTCTTCCAACACAGATCTGTCCATTCTGGCGGCCCTTTATGTAGATGCAACATTCCTCATGGTAGCATAATTCAAGTGTTCCAGGCCTGCTAAGAAGAACTCATTACAAACTGCACACACCCTGCTCCCCAAGCACTGCTCTGAGCCTTCTGGTTCAACTCGCTCCTCTCCACGACAATCCATTGAGAAAGGCACTATTGGAAGCCCGGCGTTACAGCTAGGGAAACTGAGGCTCAGAGCAGTTACCTGCCCAGGAGCCTTGTAGCTTGAAAGAGGGGGTCTGGGGAGAGGGGCAACCCGGATTGGGATGGACTCAGCTGGACCCCAGAGCAGAGCCCTCCAGCTGTCGGCCCCACTAGTCAGAATCCGCTTTTCCCCAGAGGTGGCAATCCGACGGCGTCCAGGAATGAGCCAGATTCAAGACTGGTGGCCGGGCTGGTCAAGCATCCAGGACTCCAGTCCCACTACCCCTTTATGAGGGTCTAGAACAGCAGTTCTCAACCTGTCGGTTGAGACCCCTTGGAGGTCGAATGATCCTTTCACAGGGGTCACCCAAATTCATAACAGTAGCAAAATTGCAGTTATGAAGTAGCAACAAAAATAATTGTATGGTTGGGGGGCGGGGTTATCACAACATGAGGACCTGTATTAAAGGGTTGCGGCATTAGGAAGGTTGAGAACCACTGACTGGTCTAGAACTTCAGCAGTTTGGCTTGTCACGTCTTAGTGAACACAAACCAATAGACGAAATCTCTGTTTCGTAAAGCACCCTCCCCAGGTTCAGGACCCTGCTAGAAGCTAGTTCAGACTGCACATGGCGCTGCAGCACGCAAGCCCCACAAACCAGAGAGGAACCTGGGCGGAGGCTCCATCTCTGATTCAGACAGCTCCTTCTCTCCTTTGAAGGCACAGCCTACACCCCACCTCCACACTCAACAGGCGACCAAGGTCCAATTAGGAGTGGGAATGGCTGCCTCCCAAGCAGCTTGCCCCACCCTCGCTCCAGGGCCCACTCTCCTCGGGATCCTTGGGCTCATCTCGGTGGCGGGGACCGTGTCTCTACGATGGGGCAGGTGGTTAGTGCAGTCAGCTGCTAAGCAGTGACTTGCATTCACCCAGAGGTGCCCTAGAATAAAGTTCTGACAATCTATGTTCTGCCCCACCCCCAAAAAACCAGCCACTGAAAACCTACGGGCATAGTTCTACTGGGGCCCACGGGGGTGGGGGTCACCCAGAGTGGGAATCCATTCAGGAGCAATGGGTGGTTGGGGTTTCCCGGTGGCACACAGTGGAAAGGAGGGAGGGGGGAGAGGAGGGAGAGAGAAGCAGGGGAGGGGTGGATTTTCCTATCTCAGTAGCCCTAGCATTGAGCTGGCAACCTACTTCGTCATTTGGCCTTGGATACTGAATGCCTATCCACTGACCATCACGGAGCAGATTCTGCAGCTGGGGTGGGGCACATCGGCCCGAGGGCAGCACATGGCCTGAGGAGCCATCGGCACTGCTAACATCACACATCTCTCCACAGAGAAGCAGTTGTAACCATCACATTGCTCCCGGTCGTCCCGGCCATGCCTGTTCTGGCCCCTCTCCAAACCGTTGCAATCCAGGCCACCTCTTCACAACGCCCCCGAGATCATGACCACACACTCACCTCTAGGGTATTCTAAAGCACAGAGACCCCACAGGGCAGGGTAGAACTGCACCTGGGAGTTGCTGAGATGGTAACTCTTTAGAGCAGTAGAAAGTCCCCCCATCTTTCGCCACTGAGTGGCAGGCGGCTGGTGGTTTGAAACGTCAACCTTGCCGTTAACAGCCCTACTCGTAACCACTATGCCACTACTAGGGCGCCACAGCCATCACATCCCAACACCAACTTCACTGCCACGGAGTCGATACTGACTCAAGGCGACCTTACAGCGGACACATAAGGGGCCAGTTAATTCAATGTCTGAACGGACAAAGCAGGCTAACTTTTCAGTTGATGGTTCTGTATGGCCCTTGAATGGTGTGATAATATCCAAACATCCCCCCTACCCCTGCTGTACAGGGTTTCTGTGGCTGCAAGTCATTATGGGAGCAGAGCCTCCTCTCTGCACTGCCCCCCACCCACCATACCCCCACCCCCAGCTGAGCGGCTGGTGGGTTTGCACCGGTGACCTGACAGTTAGCAGCCCAATGCTTCCCAGAAGGCACCACCAGGGCTCCTTGGGGTACCCTTAAACACACCTATTTTGTTAGGGCTCCCCAGAGGACAACTGATTCCTATTCAGGGCCAGCCTCCCCGGTCATCCTCAAAGGTGCTCCAACCATCTCGAGAGTCTTTTATTTTCAACGCTTTTTGCTTGGGAAAGCCTAAGCTTCCCACCCCCGCTGCTACAGGGAAGCAGCCATTGAGGGCACAGACACATGAGGACCTTTGTTGCCAAACAAAGCCACTCACAATTCTGACCTCAGTGAGAAGCCTACCTCACGCTGTCAGGTGTCTTTTGCCCTGTCATTTGTTTAAGTAAACACAATAGCCCATTCAGGGGCATTAGCTAAATATTAACAGAGTAACTCTTTTGATAGCATTCATTACAGCTAAGCTGCTCCTTTGCCACCCCCCTTCCCCCAGCTTCTCTTTCACAAATAAGAAATCAACAACTATGTGCGTAATCACCATCAGGCATGATTTCCCATCACCCTAAACCATCCCCAAGTAGGAGGAATGGGGAATGTCTTTGGGAGCCCTCTGGCAGGGCTAAGCCGAGACAGAGTCTGCACACCGCCCAGAGTCACCCAGGCTTGTGCGGTCCTGACCCGGGGCACTGGCATGCTGGCAACCAGGACCTTTGTCTTGGTGCCTGAGCAATGATTTAAGGGCTCAGGTGAAAGAATGCTTTGCTGGAATTTCTGGCAGGTGGCCACCTCTCTGGGGCAAGATTTCAATGGTAAAAAAAAACGTACTACCTACAGTCTTGCTCATGCAAAACAGATACGAGGCCCTGTGGGGTAGAGGTGTGAGAGGGTTATCCAAAAATCCCAGCTTGTGTGGGTGGGGCCAACCACCAAATATAATCAACAAAGCAGAAACAGATCACGTACATGGCTACAGCTCAAAGCCCTAACTCGATAGCATTCCCTCACCCGGAATAGCTGCTATCCATCAGCAACCCAACAGAGAGGGCAAGCAGGCTGGGGGCTTTCACCTCCCCCACACCCGCACCCCCCACCCCCACCCCCCACCTCTCCATGAGGCAGTGACGGGCCACCCTCAACCCTCAATACCTTTGCCTGACCAACTCCAATCTCAGGAAGCGCTAATGTGGAGTCAGTTCTGACCCATAACAACCCTGTGCACAATAGAAGGAAACTGCACCATCCTCCTAGCCGGATGCCTGAGCCCATTGTTGCAGCCAGGCTGTGCACCCAGCTCATTGAAGGCCTGCCCCTCTACTTGACCAAGCATGACAGCCCTTCCTGGGGACCAGTCTCTCCTGGCAACATGTCCCAGGCATGTATGTAAGATGGAGTGTCGCCACCCTTCCTTCTAATCTGCACAGACATGAACAGAGGA